ATAATAATAATAATAATAATAATATTTATTCAGAAAGGTGGTTACAGTTTACTGTTTCACATTATGACTTATGCTTATAACAGTTATTCTACAACTGACAGAACGAGCATCCGCGACCGAACTAGGCGTGAGCCTGTATCTCGGCACGCGGCGCCCAATTCCCGCCTTAATAAATAGCCAAAAAAAAGTAATTACAATAACAAACGTTTAAGAGTATCACAAAGACCAGTTAAAAATAAAATTACATACCACATTAAAAAGATAGAGAAGGAAAAGTAAGGTATAGCTATCACCAATATATAGGAATTTGTCTATTTTGTGTGCGTGTGTCTGTGTGCGTGTGTGTGTGTATGTGTGTGTGTGTATGTGTGTGTGTGTGTGTGTATGTGTGTTGTGGTGTATGCTTGATAATTCGTAGTATAAATCAATATGAGAAGGTGCAAACATCCAGCAGCTGCAACAATATACAGTAGATTTATATCATTACTTGGATGAGTTTTTCAGTATCATCATAGGATAAAGTCAGTAAAAATGCCTTCACCGCTCTTTTACAGTGAAATTTATTTAGACTGAAAATGTTTATGGCTGTGTTAATTTTATTATACACAAGAGGTGCCAGAAAAACGTAAAATTTTCTAATGAAAGCTGTTTTAGTGTGATGAGCGCGGATTGCTACGTCATATTTCCTGCGTTTATTTACATAAATAAGTATTGCATAAAAATCCGTCAGTAGTTGCAACATAGGGTCAATGATAGTTAGCAAACGAAAAACAACAGATAAAATTTTATTAAAATTTGTATTTAAACAAAACAAACCGATCTTGGATAAGAATGTGGGTACCAAACCCCAACTTAAGAAACAATAATCAGATGAAGATATAATTTAATATGATAACTAAATATTAAGACTATGTGTAGGTACTGAATATTTACAATGGATTATGTTATAAGTTTTAACTAAAATTGTATGTTGATGAGTTTTGGCTTTAAATTAAAATGAAATAAATTGCTAAATAGCAATCAAACTAAATAAATGGGACTGAACCTGTGTATAATGCGGTTGGTATTTATATTGAACGCACCACTAAGTTCCGTGTTTTTTATGCTTTAGGTTCTTCCGTCTGAGTTATAATTACGTTAAGGACAGAAGTTTTTTATTCAAATTACGGAAAGCTATAGACAGTAAGAATATTTTAACGTTTTACTACATTTAAACATTTTCCTTGCAGTAGTTTCTATGGTAGTAAAATAAATACAAGAGGATACTTATGCACATTAAGCAACTAGATTAGCCTTCAGCATAACTAATTTAAAAATGATTACATACATAAATTATAATAATATGTACTACCTATAAGCAAAGTGATGATTTCCTTTTGTTGAAGGGGATATTAAAATAATCATGATACCTACGCTATAAAGAAATAGCAAATCGTTGAGACGGAAACGCACTAGTCACCGTATTGGTTCATTGCTATCTATCATTTTAAGCCAAGGATTTATGACACATGCGTGCTAAGTGCTAAAGTTATGGTATTGTCTTGAGATACTTTGTGATAGGCCTTGCACGTGATAGAAACAAAAAAAGCGCAATGGTTTTAGCGATAATATATTGCAATGATAATAAGTATGTAAGTTAATGAGTACTAAAACACATGTCCACGACACAAATAACTTAGATAAATAGGTGGAGGAATGGTGGCCTGCATGGTCGCGGACACACTCCATTACCTCCACTGATCTGCGTAATACCTACTGCCGAAATCTCTGAGATTACGTCAGAGCATCAAGCAGCTCGTTAGTGCAACGACAGAAGAACGACTAGCACGTACTTCGTTACCTCACTCGTTCTGCAATTAACAGCCTTAACTGCTTTTTTATATTTTTTTATTTCGTTAATGCAACACAGATTTCTAATGACCCATAAGAAAGAAACTTCCTAAAATTGACACCTTACCGCAATATCCATGCAAGTCTGAGAAGTTCAATTCGGCACACTAAACAATACGATTGATGATTAGAGATAACAGGGTCAAGGTGGGTTTGAATCAAATAGATAGAAATGGAAATTGGAAACGTATCTTTTTGAATACATTTCTAGTGATTGTTATCTTAAGCATGTAGAGTTCACATCCACTTCTATGCTTTCTAATTAGATTAGAATTTATTTTCATAGGTACCTGATTTTGAACGGTGGAAGTGAGTAGCTGCCTCTGAAGTTCGACAGGATTGCTCTCGAGGAGAATCGCCGCGAACTTCTTGGAGTCAGGCGTAGCGACGCGCGGTGGGCGCGAGGGTGTTTCCAGTGCTGTGTCGAGGCGGCCGAGCGGGGTGCTGGGCGCGGGCGCGGGCGGAGTGACGGCGGCCGCCGCCGCCGCCGCCTCCAGCTGCGCGGCGCGGAGCAGCAGCGCGTCCCGCTCGGCGCGCAGCCGCCCGGTGTCGGCGCAGTCGGCGCACGCTGTGTCGTTGAGTGCTCGCGTGAACGACTCCTCCACGGTGTCCGCTGGGTGCCGGTCGTCGAGCTCGCCGCGCAATTGTTCAGCTTCGTCTCGTAACCGTACTCCTTTTCTTTGAATGACGTCGAGTAAAGCCCAGAGCTCATCTTCAATTGGTCTTGAACGTGTGGCTGACGCAGAAGCTGATGCCGATGAGGAATGTGCGTCTTTCCCGCAAGAAGTCTCTGTGCTGAAGCCGGAATCCTGCACGGAGGGTTGTGGTTTGGCCCGCGTAGCGTCTCCTGCTCCTGCCGCAAGTTTACGACGCACGCGCACCCCGGGCTCCCAGTCGCGACGTGTACCGCTCGCAGGCGTGGACGGCGCCATCTTGGAGCGTAGGTTAGGGAATGTCTCGATGACGAGGTCGCGAAACTCAAGTAAAGCTCCGACTTCATTCTGGAGTTCCTAAATAATAGGAAATATTATTAATGATAATATTCATCCATTCGGTTAAGTAGGTAGTAAATTCATCTATTTGTTGTATAACTAACCTGTAGAGCGACGAGGGACTTAGCCTGCTCCGAGATGAGGTAATGAAATGGTCCGGGTGGTGAGCGCAGTTGGAGACACTCCATGCCCGAGCCACCTGACCCGCCGCTGGCGCTGTCTGCACCGCCCGTCTGGAAACATGAACAATATCATTAATATTCCAAGCTCCATTAAGTTGAAAAGGATATCCAACGAAAAGAATTTCAAAAACTTATGAAAATAAACTTTAAGTATATGAATCGAGAATTGTACACCACAATACTATAGCAATTTAGTAAATCATGTTGTCATTAGTGAGCATGAGGTTTTTTAAAGGAATATAGCAGTAATGTCGCCGTGCGCCCCAGCGTAAAATTGCGTCACGGCCGAGTGCGCCCCGGACACAACGTCCACACAATCCACGACTCTCTTCCTTCGCGACCATTATGCGCTATTGCATTATAAAAACTATTGCTAAACTTTGAATTGTCTTAGGTACTTCCAATCCAGTGGCATTCAAGTAGAATCCTAAATTCGGTAGTATCCCGCCCAGATCTTGTCTTGGCAATCTTTACACTTGTATTATCCAATTTTTGATTCAGAATTGTTGTTTTACCAATATAATTTCAGAAATATTTTGGAATGAGATATATTAAGTTAGCTGTATACTAGATACTCAAATACAATTAGTTCCCATCGACGTCTGCTACAAGTCCTATTATTTAGTCATCAGATGTTTCGTAAACTTGTTACATAAATTACTAACCGTTTTGGGCAGAGATTGACATTTTAAAGGACTGTACATAATTGGAATATTTCGGTCTCATTAAGCTCACGATTAAGCTACGAAGAGTTGATTGTATTTAAACAATGAGGGTTTTCGATTTTGCGCTCACGAGATGGCGCTAGTGAAGATTAAGGCCATGTTAGACCAATCATCTTAGCTGGCACAGGCTGGCTGACTTATGACTTGATGCTAGCAATTAATAATCTATTGGTCAAAAGTCAATAAATCTTAAGCTACATTAGCGCCTCCAGTGGCGAGAAAACCTTCACTAAATATTTCAGGATGGACATCATAGTCATTTCTTTAAACATTTAAGGTTATTTAATTTTGTATATAGGTACCTGTAGTTTACAAATACAAATATTTGACAATGTTAATATTGCGTTTATTAAACTAGAACTGAACAATGAAATCCCGTTCTAATTTACATAATTAAACATGACTTTAATTAGAGTTACGAAGCTCATCGAAACTACAATACTTGTTCAGTATGGTTATACAAACTAGTACTTATTACATAACTTCTATCTAGTCCTAAATCTATACGAATACACGTAGGTATCTAATTACCTAATAATTGATAATCACTGGATTAATTCAAAATAATTGATATTGGTTACTCGGCCAATTGTAAGATTGTCGTACAGATAAAAAGAAAGTAGGTAAACAAGTTAGGTATATCTTTAACTAAGCTATGACTAATGTGATTGGACAAAATGAATCTGTCGGTAGACTAAAGGAGTAATAATTTAATGTTGCTTCATTCAATAGTTTCAAATTCGCCTATAACTTCCTTTATCAGTGTGATAAGAGTACTTTAGCGACATACCAGAGGGAATGTCGATGTAATTTTCAAAGTGCTGATAATGCAGCAATGTAGCCATGTTCAGTTTCAACATTACTCAAGTACATTGCAACATACCAAAGTTATCGAGGTGCAAAAAGATTGTAGGTATATTATCTTGGTACAGATAAAACATTAAGCTGATTCGGTAGACAGGCTGGCAACCTTTTTTGGATGTTCTATGACATGAAGTTGTAACGTAAACCAACACATGGGTTTTCATAATATTAAGTTTAAAGGTTAGCTCAAGATACATTTTAGTCATTACAATGACGTAAATGTGATCCTCCGAACACGGTAGTTCAGAACAAACGGGAAGACAATTACAAGAATAATATCATGAGTCACTAGCAGTTTATATCAATATTTTTTTTAGTCATCTTGGAAAATACCAGAATTTATAGTTTGATGGTATAACTGAACGCTTAAATTATGCTTTAACTAAATTGTTACTTTTTTGTGGTTAATGTAGTAAATAAAGTCAACATTGACAACCGATGTGATCATATTATCTCAGTGTCATACAAACAAAAAGCAACAATACCAGCGCTGCCAATGCTAATACTCTTGTGTATCCAAAAAACCACTAAGTAAATCGTCTACTAAATGCAGTAAGCAGTGTTGGCTCGGGGCTAAGACTTAACAATACTCAAGTGTCAGACACCAAATTTGGAAAACAACGACCTCAATCTCTTTGCATTCAGAGTGAATTGCATTACTGTGTTTATTAAGCTCTAGAAAACGAAAGTTTGCAGGATTGTTTAAATCGTTTCCGCTAAACGTATTATTTGCAGTTTTGCATAGGTTCGAAATCAATTAAACGAAAGCAAGTAATTATATCTGCAATGGTATTATAGTATTAAGGTCTGTGGTAGGAACGGTACGATGTCGAGAAAGCCTGTAGTTGACGGTAATGGCTGGCCGGCCTATAGTCTATTGACAAACGAGTGCAACAATCGACGGACCTCATTCAATGACAGACCATTTTGGCGGTTTCTTAGTTTCACTTTCTTTACAATTGCGTCAGAACAAGGCCGTGTCTACATCCACACCAGCTGTGTGATTATAATGGCAATTCACTAATGTGTTATGACATTAAGCCGCTTGTCGTGATTAGATGTGGGTACCGGATCTTTCGATTGTTTATTTTCACCCGGCGAGACGTAACAACATGCAAATTATGGACGCGTGCACATAACATAATGACACTTTCATAAATGCGAGTAATGATGAGTATTTGGATTACACAGTGTAGGATCCGTTAGGTGACTAAATGTTTATACAATCACGATAGCATTGACGATTTCTCCATCTTCAATAACACAACATCCAAATATCTTAAAATTTCCAATGAAGCATAGATGTGGAATAGATAATTGAAGACAGGCTCACTTGTAACGTACAAATCCCGGGCCTAATTAAAGCCTTCGTTACTGGGTGTAGAGATAGAACCAGTCACACTCCCTAGACTGTGGTTTAATGACAGTGTGCGGTTGACTTGGGCCAGAAATGGGCCTCACAAAACCACTTAATTTAATGTAGGTACCTATGTAGCAGTTATAAAATTATAGTACCTGAGAACATACACCATTTTGCAATCTAAAATTAGTTCAAGGACCTTTCAAGTACTACGCAAATACATAATTATGTGGCAAATAATGTAAGTACTCAAAGATACGTTTGTGATAAAAAATAACACAATAGATGATTTTCATCAAATCGTAAGTACATGTTGTTGTGTTAAAGTATAGACCATTTTTTATTTGGTTGCGCTATGAATCATGTCTAAAGTTTTTGTTTGCATAAACTCAATGTCCATTCTTTGTACTGTAATAAATAACAAGTATGAGACCGTATTGAACTCGTGTTGGTACTAAGGCTTCAGGGCTTCAAAGTAATGAAACAAGAGAAACTATTAACTCTTCATCTATTATTCTAGTGGGAGATTTCTCAACTACTGCAAAATCCCTGCAATTACTTGAAAAGAATAAAAAATATCATCGGCTTCCATAATTCTTTCAAAAGTGTACGGACGTAATGACTATAATAATTAAAAAAAAAAACAGTAAATTACCCGTTAACAATCCAACATAACCAAGGTGAAAATGAGGAAAATACAAGCTATCATAGCAACATAAAATAGAATCACCTATTGTACCTTGCTTTGACTTAAGTAATGAAAGGCAGGCTATCGCTGACATTCTGTAGAAGGTATTGTGGATATAAACACGATCAGGTGTCCCATTTAATCAATATCAGTGGAGGACTGAATCACCAAACGTGATACACCACCATCAACATCGACACGTTAACGATATGAATTCGTTTCGATTGGCTCTCTACATGCAATGGGATGAATAACAACCGACATTATCTTACCGTTACACTCATTCTCAGCTAAGTACTTATTTTTTGTTATAATTTTTATTATAACCACATACGTATTATTACATGTGTACCCGGTTGAACGTGACGAGTAATCTGCATCGATTTAAAATATAAGAAGGTGCTTAGATAGAGCCAATTATAAAAAAAAACTCATTATGTTTATACTTTGACAGATGTCTACGTAACAATTTGACATCTGTCATAAAGATTTGTACAATACAAAGTGATTTACAAATTACGAATAATTTTCGTCTGTGAATAGGGACAAGGATGGTGTTCTGAACAATGAGGCGGAAAATTATTATAAGAGTTCCGGCCGGTTCATTAGGCAATCGTTTAATGAGAGACATTTCCTGCGTTTTTATGTCATACAACTTTAAATGGAGAACATTTGATAATAAGTTTTGTCTAAACGCAGTATAACGTTCTTAATTATGAGAACTGATTAGGTAAGTTTGTAATATAATATGCAGAGGATGGCAGTCGGCCTTCAACAATGAGAGGTAAGTCATTTCAATGACAAAAACCAAGTACAAAATATGTGTACTTGCTTGATACGTGACGTGACAAATCGCATTTGTTTGTATGCTGTTGCACGACTGTAGCGACAAAGACTACGTTAACGCAAGTGTGATGTAAACGAGAATCGAATCGATAAAATAAGCACGATCTGACTATCGAATCGATTACGTTTTTACATGATCGATGCCACGTTTACTTTTTCATATCAATACAAGCAACCGTATTTTCACTTCACATAAGTACCTACAACAAGCGAAAACTGGTAAACAATAACTCAATCAAGCGAAACATAATTCGTAAGTTTCCAATGAAATTTAAGTAACCGCAAATGAATGTACTTCTAACCGTAGAAAGCCTGTGAAAACTAAAATACAGACAAGATGACTTAAGACCTGTTGGAGTAAGATTATTGCGATTGTGTTTGTGTGTGAGTTTATAAGAATGTACATTAAACTACACTCTGCATTCTAGAGCTTACGGTGAAAGAAATAAAGGTGCTTAATTAGAAATATTAACTGTAACGGTACATTTGGGCAATATACGTGCAGTGGAATGTTAAGTTCTAATTTCATTAACACACGTTCCGTTTGTTTTGAAGACAGTGCGTTGTT